CACCGATCGTAAATTACAACCCGAATCGTTATTCTTCTTAATTAATGTCTTACCTTTAACTGGGATAGTTCGTACACTCACCAGATCATCGTATTTTATCCGCTTTGCAACCCATCGAATGGATCTTAACATTGGCTCTATTACGGGCAGTCCTAGTTCATGTATTTGGATATAGTACATCAAGCAATAATAAGCATAAGTAACACTCACCCTTAAGGATTCCACTTTCTTTTAATTTCCTAAAATACACGCAAGCACAACAGATTCATACTTTTCATGCTGCTCAACCTCGCATGACTTAGATTCCCTCACAACATATGTCTTTCTAAATGATAGCAGACACACTGATGGTATATTCACATTCTCAAAAAGCTTCAAAGCTTCCTCAACTTAAACCCTGGTTCTTAATTCTCCAGGATTATGTTCTTTGAAAAACTTGCTAATATCAACTTTGATCGTGCTCTCCTCACCAGATTTACTGGTAAATTGCTGCATGCTGTAGACATAAACGTGAAAGACATTAGTTTTCCAGATTTCTACATGTTAAATAACCAAATGAGCCAGCAACAAAACCTGCAACCAACAAATGGACTGGAAACAACTGCTTCTACCAGCCAAACATCTTCATGTGCATGATTTCCAAAACGTCTACACAGTACCAATTCATTAACAGCTGAAAACCAACTAAAACACTGAAAGCCGCATAAATGCATGGTATGAAACAATTACACCGAAATGAATGCACTGACCTGGTAGTGAAAACTTTCGAAACCAAAGAAATAATTCATTTTAACAGCAACGGAAACGAAAAATGAGGTGAAACGCAACATTTGTGAACAATACGCAACAAGATAAGTCGTGTATAACGGCAGGATAAACGGAACAACAAACGCGTACACGGACAGCTACGGAACTGCAACCCAACATGGCCGACTAACATGAACGAAAATGACCTTTAAGCGTCTCACTCCACCAATGACCTTGATAATTTACGGATAATTTCAGTCGTTTACACTAGCTCGAAAAAATATAATGGATATTGAATATTGGAATGATAGCGCGCTATTTTTGTGGTATGTCGTTACGCATGAATGAGGGGGGTGAGGTCTTTGAAAGAGGCTACAGTCAGTTTCTAGGTCATGATAAGTTCCTGCGTCGGCTAGTTATATGTTTTCGCGAATTCGTTTTCCATTGATTTTAAAGGTTTTTCTGGATGTTCTGCTCATTTTTTAGTGTGTAGGTCAGTTTTCGTCGTTGGATGCTACTATATAGCTTATTTTTAGCATGAAGTTCCCAGTTATTATGTTGGTAGTCAAGGATTATGGTAAACCTGCAATCATTGAGCTAATTAACGTATACTATGCTAATATAGTAACATAGACTATGCTAATAATAGTAACGGTAAACTCCCTTACTGTTTTGCCATTGTTTGACAGTGAAACTGTGCGCTGGTTTTTCAGCATGAGTGGCACTAAATCGAACCTACTAGGTTTGTTTATCAACGTTGTTCCAGCCCTCACAGAACATTTTAAGTATGGACTAGCGTTACTCCAGAGCGGAAAGTTTTGATTCAGCACGCAGCTCTTTTTTTAAGCACGATCTGTGTTATTTCAGAACATAGTGGGTAAATAAGATCTTCAGTTACCATAGAAAGGCATTATCGAGGAATAGGTTAGAATAAATTTAGAATTGTTTTAAGCTTGGTGGTGCGGCGGTCTAAGTGACAAATCGTATTAATCACCGTTATTCAGGATATGCTATGAACCGGAAATCCTCAGCTGAAAACCGTATGAATAAGACACAGATCAGTGTAATTTATAACTGACTCCAAATTGCTCTCATCACGAAACAATCAACCAAAGTATGCTTTAAACTATCGCTCTCAGCCATTTGAAAGGAAATTTACTTGATTTATGCTGACCTAGTATGCACAAATCCCACAGGTCATTGAATTGACAACTGAAAAAGTAGATTAGTTAACACATGCATTTATCTATATGTACTAATTAAGGATACATTAGATTTTTAGAAATTGTAGTTAAATTATATTCGCCTAGTAATCAAAAATGCATACATCCTATTTTGGACTTAAAATAAATGCATCAAAATTATTGTTGATTTATACTCACTTACTAAACATTCTCATACATCTTAATGTACTTTAAACACCACCAATGCATCCAAATAGCATGTGACTATCACATTACACTCATACTAAAAAAATTAACATGCCATTATATTATGGTAAGGTAAGCCCTACATCATACTGACTGTTAATTTCCGTGTCAAAATAAAAAGATTACCGCTTTAACTTATATTTTAGACCAATAGGAAGCCAGCTAGCCAACAGCCAATCAAAATCTGCCTATATATATTTTCGAGGTCTTTTGGGATTTTAAACTCTTGTGATTTTGGTATATGATTACTAAAACCAGAAAACAAGATCTAATTTAGTACATTTGTATATCACTAGTTCATCGTCCATATATACATTTTAATATGATACTTTGTGAAATTCAGTAGTTAATTTCATATTCTGGTCTTCTAAAAGACTAGTCTTTTTTGGCTATACTATTTATAGTTTTGGGCAAAAAATAACCGTAAAGAACGCGAACTATGTAGGTTTGTTGGCATTGATATATAGTAGATATCTCAAGTATCTATATTTATTTAAATACTTATGCATATACATAGACAATAACACTTCTCTGAGTGATCATATCGCTTACATTTGAAGGTAAATTAATGTGTAGAAACTGCTTTGATAAATTCATTAACGTCTTCTGTGGGTGACTGAGACAGTTTTTATGCAAAAGTAGTCAATTTGCTTATCACCTAACCTCGCAGTTTTTTGAATTGAGAAAACAATAGTCGCCCCACATTTACATGCGAATTTTGCCAGTGTGATCTTTAATAATTTTCCTCTCATCATTATTACAGGTAACTTGGAAAGCTATATGCAAACCTATATGTTAAAATAAACGTGCACTTACCCAAGAAGTTTAACCGATCAAGCTGTTTACTTATGTTCATATAAAATATTATTTTTGAGCTAAGAATCCTGAGGATCAAGATTTATGTCAATTTCTGACGAATATACCCGCCTCCTGTCTAAATATAAACATGAAGTCTTCGGACTAAATGTAAAGAAGTGGATTCGAGTTATGATAAAGTGAATTTATTGGACTGAACAATAAGTTACATCTATTATATCAACTTTATGTATACTTCGGTATGTGAAACAGAAACGACTCCTCTCACCCATCTTTAGAAACCGAGTCGCGGAGGCATTCACCCACAGAGCAGAGTGATTTTTCCAGTTCAAATTTCGTGGATATATTTTGTGGTAGGTATGAAATAGGATAATGCATAGCCGAGGATAGAAATGGTTTCATTACAGGGAGGGAACATATCTAACCAAAGTTTTCTGATGTGTAGAAAAAAACCATCATTTCGGATAGCCGTATATTCAACCTTTTTTGGTCTTACGGACAGACAAAACAGATCATGGTAGTATAAAAAGTGACTTAAATTTGGTTAAATCCCGTGACTCCTTGTCAGATAGAAATCGGTATAGACTTGCACAGAAACAGATCAGCTGAATTTGTTTCACTTTACAACAGCACAGGCACAAGGAGTGGAAGCAAAATAATTATAATTTGAAAAAGTGGTACAAGAAAAGAAGGAACAGCAGAATAAGAGTTGGTGGAAATTTCGAAGATCTGAAAGTCGATGTAAAGTGAATACATGTTTCCTCTCGATCAGTTGCCAATTATTATCATTATCCAATCTCTTTTGGTATCTTTGTTAACGTAACAGTATAATTTATGATTTCACACATCTATCAAACTCACATCCGCAAACTTTGTGGGTGTCATACGTTATTTTGAACATCAGCCAACCGAATTTTATTTTGGTCCACATTGCTGCTCGATATAATGTTCTATGCAGTATAGGTAACAAATTGAGGTTACCAAAGCCGATGAAAATTCACACTTTAGTGATATAAGTATAAAACTTGTGCACTGTGGTAGAGTATAAGTCCATTATGGATAAGATTTTATTTTAATAAATCAGTGTTGTACAGTTATATTAACTGATATATATATAAAAGGTTACATTGGGTTGTGCTTAGCTTAGAAGCTTGTATGGAGACCTCCGATCTTCACTGGTTTCTTATACAACTCTTTTATTCCTAACGAAATTTAAGCGTCCAATAAAGCAGATTCACATCGTGGCCTGTGCATCACTATTTGTCGAAATCCTAGAACGTGTACGTACCAGTCAATTGAAGTTGTTGAACACTCGTTTTCACTGCTCAGCTTCAGGTCCTTAGAAAGATTATGGGCATCCTTTAATATGAACTCTAGCATGCAGTATTTTAACTCGAAGAACAAGATATCTTTTTGCAGTACCCGTGTAGCTTATGGTTTTTGTTAAAGCATTTTTGAGAGTACTTCGTTTTCTTCTTCTATGAAACGAATTAATTAAGAGAAGTAATGGATTAATTCTGCATGTAATTATAATCTTGATGTCGTGAAATGACTGTAGTGTGTACTGTCTATTCATAGTTATTCAACATATTAAGTGTATGAAGTGAGGGCAATACAAAAGAAAAACTGCAAAACATTTAATTGTAACATCAATTTATGGGATTACTAAATAATGGAGTAGTACGTTTAAGTAGTCTGTTGTCATTTGTCAACACAAAATAGATTTCAGTGTCACCTACACAATTGTTTTTTTTAGATTGATATATCCTACTTATCCCATAGTTGATCTTAGGAAATGCTTATTAATTATTTGATCGTGTTTCTCTTGTTTGTTTTATTTCACTGCTGTTGTCAGTTTTATTATGTTACAGGATTTGAAGTATGATAACTGAGAATAATACAACCCTGTATGTAGATTTTTTATGATGGCACGTCTAGAGCCACTACTGTTTGCATTCAATTAATCCTATCACTATCTTCATTCAGCGGATATTCTAAATTTGAGAAATGTGCCAAATAATTGAACTCCCCGAAGATGGCCCTACGTGTCCTCACGGTATCATGTTGAAAATAGTTAACAAGAGTTCTGAATCATTTCACTATGCTTGTTCAGCATTCCGTGGCAAGGACGAATGCAAAAGACAAGAGCTATGTCGAAAAAATACTTTGAACAATTGGTCAGTGGAGAATATTCTTAGTAGCGACCAATCAAACAGAGCCTATTGTTCCACTTGTGATTGTCTATTTTCAATGGTAACTGAAAGAAAAAAGCATAAGATGCATGAATATAGAGGAGATCTGTCAGATAATTTATTAACCATGCCATCATATTTATTAAAGCCACTAGGAGACTCTAAAGCTCATGCGGTACGTATGATTTTCTACGTTCTAATTAATTTTACTTACAGCAATACTTTTTCTCTTTAAATTGCTTAAATCAGCTATATTCAATTATAAACAATCTATCAGTGAATTATGTTGTCTGTATTGGATCACCACGTCTTCATGACTTCATTCAACTTCAGTTTGTACACCGAGGACAGTTGACAAACTCTTATTTGTTGGACATTGATTTTCGACTGGTCTGTTGTTAACTTCTGATCTTAATTCTCTAAATTTGAAAATTTTAGACGAACTTCTATCGTTCACATAACTTTTCACAATACAACATGGTGAATGGATTTTTCTTCAGTCAACAAGACAAAGAGAATTTCTATAATTTTATCAAGGAAAATGTAAAGTCTATGCACAAATGTTTGATATTTTGTGATCCTCCGTTCGCCGCACCATTGTCATTAATCATAAAACAGATCAAAGTATTACAAAATTCAGTTATAAGGTGCATTAATCAAAATGCTGGGGGTAATTACATGATGTACGAGATTACTGTGATTTTCGTCAGTTTCCAAGATGAAAAAGAGTGACGATAGCAATAAGAATGCTGAGAATACTTATGCGTATTTGATGGCCCTGCCATACTTTTTTGAGAAGAAGTTACAGAAAATTGCACCGTTCATAAATATGTTGGACTATAAAGTAATCAGTATTTTTCGTTATTTACTTAAGACTGCGATTGTTTATTAAGATGACGTATGAGAATCATTCAAGATTGGATTGTGACAGGAATAATCCTGATATTAGTCAAAGTAATACAATTAACAATGAGAACCAGGCAAATAGAGGAAAAAGACGAGATTCAGTTGTTCGTCTGTTTACAAATCTCTCACCCTCATTAGTCCATCCACCTGAATCACTGGAGTCATCATTCAGGTATTCATTTATTTACTGCGTATAATTTCCAGGCGTATTGTCTGTTATTTGTTACTTAATATTCATAATAAATCGAGTACATGAACAAAGAAATACACTGTTACTTCATGTATTCAGCTAAATAAAAAATAACAATGATAGTGTTCAGTTCATGTGGAGGATTGGACATGCACATTTTCAACATCTGATAAAAGTTCAGTCTATATCACCCAAGTTCTGTGTGGATCTATTTATCCACATTATTCTTGTGCTACGGAAATAACGTCGTGTACTTTGTTGCTCCCACCTCTGACATGTTTAATGTGTTTAGATTGAACTATCAATAATGGAATAAATACCAACATACACTGTCAAAGTGAAAACCTCTTGGCGGGGTATTAAAATGGACATTTGATGAATTGACTTCATAAGACGGTGAATATTAAATAATTAAAAATAAGGTTATAAATTTTTATTTTAGTTACACTAATTAAGTTATCATCTATATTTGGATATATATTTGGGATACCAAAAAGTAAAATTTTCAGAAACGAAAACGTAATTGGGAAGTGAAGGCATTTCTGACTACATAATTTTGATACCGAGTTAGGCAGAGATTGACTACCAACATATAAACGTTTTTTACTTGTTAATGAGGCGGCGTATAGAAAGCCGTAAACTTGAACTATATTGTTTTATAGTCATCCTGAATACCTATCTGATGTTGATTTTGTGGTCAACTTCGATCAGATGTTGTGTTACCGAACTGTTTACACCAGTGGTTAAATAGCTGATATACATCCAAACGTGATATTTTTAAAAAATTGGTTAATTTATATTCTGTAGGTACACTTCACCATGGAGTCTCGTAACGGGATAAAAGCTTCATTTATTTTCTTTTGTTTTCCAATAAGTATTCATTTGAGTTTGGAGTTCAAAAATCTATTTTTACCCCGTAGGTTTTGTGAAATTTGCCAGCGTTATTCACACATCACGAATGTACACTGTCTCAAGTGCAATCGTTGTACAACTAAGGTGAGTTATCTGTTTCAAGTTCTTTCCCATATACTATTTTAACAAATGATAACTGAATGTTATTTTAACTTGCTATGTAGTAGTACTAAAATGTAACCTTTACTGGTCTTATAATACTGGTAATTTTTATGAAATTCGACTTAGAAGATTCCTGTTTTCACTCTAAATTACTGGTAACTTTATCTTACTTCTCATTCACTATAACATGTGAACTACGAGTTAACTCAATAAGACGTCATAGCCGTGACCTCATTAACAGTTGGGAAGTCTGTGGGTATGCTATAATAGGATAATTCAGTCACTCCTGGGGTTTTATACACTTGGTTGTCAGCCACACATAATGTGTAAAGGTTTATGATACAGTTGTGATTATCCAGGTCGAAGTAGATGATTCAGAGTTTTAACTCGTACTCCAATAGTTGAAAGTGACTTGTTTGTGCTATGAGCCTTTGAAAACTAGTTCTTACCAGTGCACATGTTTTCGCACTAACGTTCGTCCTATACTCTTGCTTATTTTATTGTTTTGTCATTTGGTATTATCTCCAAGTATATGGTGGTCCATATGACCATGGGTGCTAGCTATCATATTACGGTAGTCAGGTTTTCTTTTCTTATTGACTTACATAAGCTGGTAGAACTGTCGAAACGCATATTTGTTGAGCTGTTAGAATGATGAATAAGAGGAAAAAGCACTTGCTTCCCATAAGTCTTTTATCAGTGTAAGATGAATTCACAGTGGCTACTGTTGCGAGCTTTAAAAGTAGTAATCCGTTCTCTATGATTAGTTGCTACGTCTAGTATTGCTAAATTTCCATATTCGAAGAAAGTGATTAGAATGTTTGGCTCTTAAATAGCCTAGCTCGTTATTGCAGGGAGTCTGTGCTGGCAATACAGCATTTTGTTTCCTTAATTAAGCCTATAAAGTCTGATATATATATATATATATATATATATATATATATATATATATATATATATATATATATATTAAGGAGGCTGATATTAGGTTAACTAGGTGTTCCTTGGTTGTGCTATCAGGAGTTTTCAAGGTATGTGGATGCATATCTCTGTTTCAATAATATCAATAAATTTGTTGTTGCATAATAGCATTTTTATTTAGCACCGTTGTTTTTTTTGTTTCACTACAGAATGGACCAACTTATGTACACTGTGATAAATGCGGTCGATGTAGATCTTCAAAGAAATTCCACTGTAATTATTGTGAACGATGTGTGTCTGTCGATCAATGTGTTCATCAGTCGAAGCGTCCAAAACTCCTCAAATAACTCTATCAAATTGTAAATTCATTTCTAAAAAAAGATGTAGATTCAATATATTTCTTACTCGCTTATAGTTTGTTTTGTTTTCGAAACATCTGTCTTGTTTGACTTTGGCAGTGGTCATGTTTGTTTTTCTTAATGATATCGAAATCGTCAGATGAATTGATCTAAGCTATTTAAGTTCAATAAGGATTCACTATCCGGGACTTATTTATTTCTTTAGTTTAATTTTGTATGAAATGTTTATTTGATTTAACACATTTATATATTATTAGTAACTAGGTAATGTTTTGAGTGCAGTTTATTGTTTATAATAATATCGATGCACCCGCATGTCCTCCTTCTACAGTTTTTTTGATTTTGTGTCATTTCTATTTCACGTGTTAGTGGTCATCTCAATGAACACACATTCAATGATTAATCTGCCTTACACTAATGATATCTTTTTTTTACTGACAATCGTCAACACTGGCCAGTAGTAAAAGTGACTAAAAAAAAATCAAAATTTAACTATTAATTTCGTTTTATTCTCCTATAAGTTTTCGACGAATCTAGGTTGGCGCAAACATGTATTAGGCTATTGACTATATGTATTTTGTGGTACCTAGGAATATTACTTATCTGTCGAAACTTTTGCAGATATGACGGATATCTTACGCACTATCTAGTGGTCAAACTTCGAGTCTAGAAAACTAATGCGTGACTGCTGCATTGTAACACTGCTGTTGCTGGTACGGACATTTAGGCACTAGAGCTCAGTTTGAAAGTGCGTGTGTGTGTGCTTAACTTTCATTGGGTGCACTTAGATTATAGGCATGAAAATGTAAGTGTTGTGTTCACTCGTGACAATTTAGAAAGTTTTCTTTTTGTTGCACTTAGAAGACCCCGCTTAAGGTGGAATGTGTTTCCTTCTCCTCATTGGTTTACATCTTATTTACCATGTCCTAAATACTACCTTGCCAATGTTAGGCATATGTTACAATGCTGACGTTCATACATCAATGTTGGAACAAACAGTTTCTTGCACAATTCCTCCTTATAATCGGATAGCGGTATGACTACCCAAACTTTGGTTGATCAAAAAATATCATCTCAGTCAATTAACTGCATTTTTCCCATGGAATTTCAGCAATTAGCCTGGAATTTAGGTAAACAACTTTATCTCAGTGTTCTATTTAGCTTAGCATACTTACTGTGACTCTGTATAGTGGACTTTTCGATACAATAGCATATTTTCTTTTTATGGTGATGGTCAGGCTTGGCAAATCAATGGTTGTTACACCTGATTGGGGGGGGATTGTTAACTGTGCAGAAATGTACCTTGTTGGCTAAAATATTATCTGTTCAACTGGTGAGCTGTGATCGTTCACACTGCTACGTAATATCACTAATCCTCAAGTAATAGATGTGGCTGGTATCCTAATACTCAGATTTGTAAATGATAACTGATTCGTTGACTTAAATTAAGAGGCATACGTTTTGAAGATATTCGAAAGCCTTGTTAAGTAAGTTGTAATTCAGTACACCATACGTGCATGTAGACGTAACACCTAGAGTGTCATAAGATTGCATGATTTTCCCGCACTATAATAATAGTAATTACTTCTCTTAGTTTCAGGCCATTTCACCTGTTTTTTAAAACTTTAAATGAACTGCTGTCCAGGAAAATAGTTTCTTCCAGACACACTGAGCACTTTTTTTGGCTTATTGGTTATTTAATATATAAACGATCCTTTTGTTCTTCATTAAAGTGCATCATGCAGTTGATATCATTTATAAGTATGCAGTAAATTCATATTTTTGGTTGTTTTCAGACTTATTTCACATGAAGTCACTAGAACCTTTTGGATTTACTAAGTGCTCAAAAACTTTAACTGATACTGGACAATTATGAAATGTGAACGAATATCTTAAAACTACAACTGAAAGGTAATTTTCGTTTTCGGAATTTACTATGCATTCGGTGGTGTGTTGGTTCGAATCATACAATCACTTATGTTTTGGTTTCAAATTCAATCATCTCTTTCATATCACTGGTCAGACTATTCATTCTCATATAATTAATTATTAGAATAACATGAATCCTAGTAGTAAAGGTAAACTTCCAAACTTTGTACACCGAGTTAACAAAGTTGGGAAATTTCTCTTCCTCACGAAAGTGAATGTGAAAGTGTGGCGCTTACAGCCAGACTGATGGACACGTTGGTATACTTAGGGGAGCTAGCGAACCCTGATTCTAAACCTGTGGTGTACATGAGCTCCACAATCTGTACAGATCGAATGGAGAATAAACTGGTCACCGTCACCGGAAACTATGAGAACACAGCTACTGTGGTGAGAGCTGGCTGTTAGCCAAAGTTGGTGGACTGTAATTTACGTCAATGTTTATGTCCCCAATATTGGTCGTGAGAAAAATAGGAAGAAAGGCTTTGCGTAGGTGGCTACAGTTAGCATATAGATGATGTGACATTCAATAAACAGACACAAAGAGATGCAAGGTTAACTTTCCGTGAGAAACAACCAATCAGAAGACTGCGTTTTTCTGCTAACAATAATCTATAATATGTACGTGAAAATCTATAAATATGTGTTGGTTTCGTAAATAAACGATCTGTTGCCTGACCCTTGTCTTCTGTTGTTACACTACTACTACTGTGGTAAGAGCAGGCCGTGAGAAAATATGAACAAGGCTGATTCAACAACCAATCACAGCAAAGTTAACGTGGCAAAATATGATTCGCAGATAGAGAACTCTATTTGTCAAGGAATCCCGAAACAACCAATCAGAAGCCGGCGTTTGTCTGCCTAACTTCCGATAAACAACCAATCAGATGACTGCGCTTGTCTATAATAATGTATGTGAAATATGTATAAATACGTGTTGATTTTCATAATAAAACGATCTGTTGCCTGGCCCTTGTCTTCTGTTGTTACACTACTACTTCTGGTCCACTTCCTTGTGGATCAGACTTCAAGTCAAAGGCTCAGAAGGGGTGGTGGGTCAAGAAAAACACCTGCTTCGATCTGGACGTCCAGATGGTATCCCCGTCCTCACACAAACTATGGGATTTTGTGTGGCATATTTGTCGGTCCCCATAATGTAACAAGTTTGTGCCCTAATAATAATAATAACTGTGTACAAAGTATTATGAGTAGGTGAGATTAGTGTATTAAACTGCAGTTTTTATCTATTTTTTCAGGACTGTATTAGTATTCATTCGGCCAATTGCATCGCTTTCAAGAAATAATCAGCTGATTGGATATTTTCTTTCTACACTAATTACTATCATACTCTATGTAGAGCTTCCAATGACTGTGGTATTTAATGGTTAACTCTATCAATTTTTAAAAATTCCCACTGACCTTTACGAATGTTATTTTTAATGAGGATAAAATTATTTAGTCTTCCTTATTATTTTTCTATATGTTTTATTATCATATTATTAATTTTCTACTTTTATTTAGCTTCATTCTATCATGTGATTATTCCAAAGGAAAAGAGTAACAAACATTTTCTTGACACTTATTATCAATTGCCTTCTTATGCCAACAAACATTGTACATATTCTACTTGTTTTAATGTAAATAATTGTGTTCATGAACTTGTTGACAAGCCATTACATACAGTTAGAGTTTATATGTATCCTTTATTAAAACAATTCAATCATACTTCACTTTCTACAACCTTTAGTCAACAATTTCTCTCATTACATAATGCTATTCTGTCTAGTCAGTATTATGTCAACCGAATTGAAGATGCGTGTATACTTGTGCCTGGAGTGGATTTCTTATATATTCATGATGAAAATCATGAAGACATTGTTGATCTATCCCTGCGTTATTTAAATCATTTGCCAAGGTTTGTTTAAATTGTTGTTTAGTTTTTTTCATTTAGTAATTAATTATTAATCTTTTAAGATGGAATGATGGCAGGAATCATTTAATTGTGAATTTCTTATCCAATGAAAAGTTGATGTATTCAGCTTCAGCTATCGTCGCCAGTGCTAGTCATACAAGTCGAACATACAGGCCAAAATTTGATATTGTCCTACCAGCATTTAATCCATATACAATTGTTGTGGATAACAGTATTGATAAAAGGTAATCTTACAGATTTTTATTTAAAATTTTTTATTAGTTATCTGTATTGTGAATGATATTTCATTGTTAAATAACACGATAAGTCAATTGAAAGTTTCAGCATCCGTTGTAAACTCGTCGATGTAATTCATAGAGGAAACTTCTGACTGCTTCCAAGATTCTTTTTTTTCCTTCACGTTCTCAGTGGAACATAGGGCCTCAAGCTAGTGGCTTGAAGTTTCTGTAGCAGTGTTTATTTTATGGGATGGGGTTGCTAGCCTCATACCCAACTTTTCCTCTTTACCAGCATTATTTCTGGCTTAGTGAGGTAAAGGAGTGCGTTGGCCGGGGATCGAACTCCGGACCGTGTGCATGGTCGGCGAGCGTCCTAACCGCTATGCCACCGACACACTCCAAGATTATTAGTTCTAGAAAATTCACTGTTCTTCATCTGGTTGTTTGACGATTTTAAAATAGACTTAAAAAGCTGTTTAGCACTATCGACTTCAAAATAAAAGCTTTTTTAATCAATTAAATTGTCAGCAGCGTCTTCCAGGGTTATTAGATAGTTTCTCTAGTTACTGTGTCAGATACCGCGTCAAATCGTTTTCGTCCTTCTTGTTTATCACTAAAATAATCTAATACGGTCTGTTAGTACTAATGTAACAGCAGAAGGCGAGATAGAGAAACAAACATATATTTTCAATTGATCAAACCGCTCTCTCTCTCTCTCTCTCTATATATATATATATATATATATATATATATGTGGCCAAACAAAAACATGGCATCAATCCATGAAATCCTTGACAGTTAAACTGAGTCAGGTAGGGAGATGCAGACTCCCGGGTTGGGGGCCTCGGGACTCTAGGAATCAATGGCTGGAGACAATAGGTGACATGGCTCAAAATCGTTGTCAATGGCGAAGATGTATTCAGTCTCTGTAATCTTTCATATTCTTTTCTACCATTACCCATTCTGTTTCACTCATACTTGTCAGACTGTATTTATTCTCTTCACTCATCTTGTCAACCTCTATGTGCTATTTCGAACGTGGCAACTCGAACTACTGCACTTCGGTGCCAAGTTCTATGTTGAATCCAGACAGACAGAGATATAGGTTTTAAGCTTTTGGAAGTGTGTGGGCGGTTGTTACTTCCCGGCTGCCCACACCGTGGAAGTTGATTGATTCTTCGGGTACCTGAAACAGAACGGTTGTTGCGTGACCGCAGAGCGCAGAGGACAACTGCTTGAGGCCGGTCACACACGACCTGTGTGAACTGGTTTCTGGGATTGGTTCCGTATTAGTAAACTTACCGCCGGTTACGGACCACCGTAGGGTAAGTCGGGATGTACAATTTTTGGGGTCGACCTTTTCTGACCTCCTCTCTCCAGATTGGAGAGACAGCATAGCTGGCATGCTGGTCATCTGAGGGAAACACCTCACTTCTGTTACACAATGCCGGTAACTGCTTTTAGCCTAATCGCTATCCTAACAACCTTCCTGGCATGGTGCGACCTGCAGAAACATTTGTTCCAACCACCACGTCAAGGTAACAGCTATCGGTCGGGCTGATTCCCTGTAAGACTAAGTGATATACATATATCAGTCGCTATGTTGCAAGCAATGTAGCGGCGTTATAGAACTGATATTTGTATCCAAAGGAAACGACAAAGTCTAGTAAACAATTTTTATTGATAAGGACTGGATTAAATTAACAGACAAATCGTGTAGCAATCTGTCGGAGTCAAACTACATGTTAAGACAGATACTTTTAGCAGTAAACAACCAGAGACAGAACGAAAGATGTACAGCTTTAACAAAAAGCGACACCAGATGCTGCCTAAACACTGGTACTGATTGTCTGTAATATACAACCTTTTTAAAATTCTGGTGAAATAATACATACAAGTAATTGCCAGTAAAAGAGGAAACCTCGGTTCACCAGACTTTCGCATTCGCTGTTTTATTTTTGTAAGGAACACCTATACCGCGTGAAGTCAGTGAATAAGACTTACCTGCCAGAGGTTATGGACGCATGGCCACACGATAGGATTTGGAGATGAAGACCGAAGTCTATCCACCTTCACCTTTACCAGGACGTTTATGGCGGGATATAAGATATTTTTGCTATCACTTATGTAAAGAGCAGGTTAAACTTGTCAACTGAAAGTAACTCATTTTCTCTGTACGATGATAGAATTTGATTTGATTCCTGTGAATGTAGAGTGACAGTGGCTTTTCTTGAAAACAAGCTCTGTTTATCAATAGAATTGGTTGTTTTTTTGGTTCACTACGGAGTATTTATTTTGGTTTTTCAGAAACATTTATCATGTTTTCCTCTTCTTAGACATACTATATTCTTGATAGTCTTCCCATCAACTGATCAAGATTCAATAAATCAGCTGAAATACCTTTTATTAGATTCTCGAAATTCAGATTCGCCTTCTCCTCAGACTATAATCATCTTGGAATATTCTGATCAGTCAATCAGCCAAACCTATGGTAGACGTTTTGTATTAGTATCTGAATCACAATATCGACATCGTGTTGTGAAAAAGTGGATCAATTATTCAGAATCTTTGTGTTCCAGTGAATTTTGCCTGGTAATTGATGCCGACAATGCAAATCGTTTTAATTTATTCGACAGTATAGCATGTGGTTGTATTCCAGTGATTGTAAATGATGATATTGTTTTGCCATTCTCTGAAGTTCTTGACTGGAATAAGTAAGTTTATTTACATATTTTCCAGGTGCACTTTTGCGTTTTGAATCTTAATGACTCCAGTGACTCCAGTTTTCAGGTGTATAACTTATGATCATGGTTTCGAGTTCATTTTATTACGCCGCTACTACTGCATTGGTAGAAAGTGGTTGAATACAATCGTTTGTGCTTGAGTGACAATTTTATAAGGTATTTCTGCTACATTTTTTGCCTACTTTTACTGCTGTTACTGATTGTTATATAGAAAAAATCCCCATTTAGACATTCAGAAAACAGAAAGATTGAGAGAAGAAATATTTACTTTTCAATTAGATCCTCGTCTCTGGCTGTACTCTAATATATATCCATAGCACTTTTATTACAGCACACAACAATTTACCAATCAAATGACGATATGTTTGTTAACAATAATTAATCAGTGTCAACATGTCAATGGGGTAATAATTAACGAAGAAAATTAATACATACAATTAAAAGGTAGAAACGGTTACAACACGTGGATTGCATAATGCATAATTTTGAAAAAATGAAGAGTAATTAAGGAACAAGCGGTGTACACAGGTGTGCAACAGATTGTTAAAGAAAATAAAACAATTTGGATAATGATAGCGTGTAACTAAGGTTGAAGTGGTCATAAGATAAGAATAAAATAATTTTACAAGGATAACGTGTAATTAAAGATGAAGTGGTCAGCAAAAAATAAAATAATTTGGACAATTATAATTTTTAAGGGTTTAGGGGAAGGGGAGCGAAGTAGACCAGTTTATACATTCATGTAACGATGGCCAAGGTAAGAAAAGTGGCTGTACAAATTTCTTCTGAACACACAGATTTAGCTTCTTCAGGTGGATTCCTATTCCTTCAGCTGTATGTAGAAGACGAACTCGTAAAGCAAAATTAAGATTAGTAGGAATGAGGAATATTTAAATGCTATAATCACGTCAACCTTATGCTCACTATCTACAAAGTGTGCTAAAATAGAGCTACGAATAAATCTTGTTTGTCCCTTGCTTAACCATGCTGGACGATGTTCAAAAGTACGATGATGAACCTGCCTAATTGTACGCCGGATGTAGCTGACATGTTGACACTGACTAATTATTGTTAACAAATATATCGCCACTTGATTGGTAAATTGTTGTGTATTGTAATACAAATGCTGTATATATTAGAGTAGAGCCAGAGATGAGGATCTAATCGAAAAGTAAATATTTCTTTGCTCAATCTTTCTGACTGTTATATATATATATATATATATATATATATATATATATATTACGGCTACGGACCGCCTCAAGATAACTCAGGATGTACAGTTTTCGGTGTCGACCTTTTCTGACACCTCTCCAGAGCGGAGAGGCAGCATAGGTTGTATGCTGGCTATCTGAGGGAAACACCTCACTGCTGTTACATCCCCATTTCTCAACAGTATGACCTCGCTCACAGACCACGAACACAGTGTAAACAATTTACGCTGTGACGACAACTCCCAGTATAATCGATATCTAAATGATCCTCCCGGGATGGTAGGATCTCCAGAAGTATTATTTGTAGTCAGTGTATCTCGTTTGGTCATTTACTACATGCAAGCTGCTAAAGGTAGCAGCTATCGGTTGAAATATATATATATATATATATGAAGGGAGAAACAGTATTTTCATGATAGGAGAATCTTGTAGTACTTCGTTTCCAAATGTACGGTAATAAAACTTGACAATGGAGTGAAACAAATTTGTGTTAGATTTGAGCTTTATTGTATTTGATGCTTAACTTGAAAAAGTATGATAAATACTGTACCCTTGAAGTTTGAAATATTATTTGGAATAACGCAGATTCTGAACCGTTTCTGAATATCAGAAAAATAATGATAGCTTACCCTATTCAGCTACTTCTATCTTTCGGTCTATCAATACTGTTTCTCTGCTGACAATAATGTACATAAAAATCTATAAATATCTCTTGATTTTTTCAATAAACGATCTGTTGCCTGGCCCTTGTCTTCTGACGTTACAATCTGAGTGAATAATACACACTCGAATACATATATTTTAAGTAAATTCACCTCAGTGTCTGGGTTTGGTTATTGAAAGTTCAGTCGTTAACTAAGTCTAAATATGGATACTATGTTTGTTCTAACTTCATGAACATGATTTCTGTCAGGGGGATAGTGAGGAGGAGAGAGAGAGAAACAATATCTAAGACACCGGTCCTTTATCCATAAGAATAACATTCTTTATAGAATCGACAAAATCAAATGTGTCTTGGAGATTCTATCTCGACAGCTTTTGTTTTATCGGATCAAAAATCTCTACCAGCCACCTCGCCAATGAGTAGTATGGAGAATTTATCATATTGAGCAAAGTAATGTCTTTGCTCTGTTGAACACAAAATACAACAGAAAAAGTTTGCCACTAGTTTATCCAACTACACAATTGCAAACTACAGATTCAGAAAGGAAAGAAAGCGTTATTGGCTATGAAAGTTGTCAATAAACCCTGGTACAAACCTTATCACTGTTTTTGGATAACTCTGCCGTTAATTATATTGTTCCACTAGTTTATTATATGGTTGCCGTGTAATATTGTAACTTTTTATGAGGTAGATATTGAATTCGGTATGATAGTATGCTGCTCTTTCCACTTCTCATTTGTAAATTATTTAGAATGGCCATTCGAATTCCCAGAGTTAAATTTCAAAAGATTCCATCTATACTCTCGACATATTCATCAAGAGAGATACTTCTTCTTCGGAAACAAATAATGTTTGCCTATGAACGTTATTTTTCATCAATAGAGAAAATCATGATCACTACACTAGATATACTAAATGATCGCGTCTTTCCTCAGTATTCACGATCTTATGCTGAATGGAATTATCCTGATTATTCTACAGTGAGTATATTTTATGCAAACTTTCGTAGTGAATTTCGTTTTAAACACTGATAAAATAACTGTTCTTGTTTAGTGTATTCTGTAAATACTTTGTCACTTATGCTAGGCGTTACATTAAGCCACTGCATAGTGTTGTGAATATTGATACGTAGATACGTAGACTACCTACGTGCTTATTTTTTTTTTACAAATTCTACTGCATATATTGCATTTGATTTTGCAGGAATGGTTTCCATTATGTCAGTGTGGAACACCAGGTGCTGAGTAAGCTATTAAACAGATAATACTAAGGTTGAGCAAAGATGTTCTGGGCGATAGATAGTGTGGGGTAAATTTGTTGTCAGCTCACGTCAAAGTGTGTGGTCTTGTGCCTCCAATTATTCCATAGTTTATCATGTTAGTTATTGCTTAGTATGAGCTCTAAGAGAGAATCAGTCAAAACAGGACATCGATTGGCAGAATTTTATGGAATGTTATTTTTATCCTAAGAACTATGAAGTTTGCAGTTGCGATACGTGAATCACTGAAATTTGTTGTGTAGATCCGAAACTGCTTAGTAGAACCAGAAGCACCTACAGTAGTACATGAGTTCTAATTTCAGGTAAAGATGTGGAACAGTAAGTTTAGCAACAACCACTCTATAGCAAACCCAACTAAAATTACTTCGGGTCGTGGACTGTAGCTGCTCATAGGTTAGTCATTTTAAAACCTGTAGGAAAAACGGGATCGTATGTTATCTTTCTAACGTGCACTCTGTTTTCTTCACATATTTCGGTTTATCAAGATCATTTTCTCAATGATTAAAAATCTATGAAGTGATTTTTGACGACCGCATATCGTAATTGTGTAGGGTAGAGCAGAATGGACCACTTCTCAGTACACACATTTTTATAGCTATATGAATTTATCATTGGTGCTGTGCTCAAATTTAGGATTTTAATCAAGCATTTTTTTAGCAGATAATTCACTGTTTTATTATAGTGCTTTGATTATTGACAATGGGCATCTTATGTGCTTCCTGTATTAAAATTTAGTCTCTGTGTGTAACTATTGCCAGTCTTTTTATTAACATTTTCATTATGTTGTTTTACTTTTATCCAACTTTAAGTTTTAATATTTAAGTACTAGTTTGTAGGGACTTGATTGATTGATTACAGGATTTCATCGTAAATAGACATCGGTTAGAGAACCATTGCAAAACCACCAGGAAATACTGGACAGATTTCTCGTCCCTGTTCGAGACTCTTCACATTACGCACCCACCGGGGTTCGAATCCAGAACCTTGGGGTTACAAGGCGAGCTCGTAGACCATTAAGCCACTGGAACCCGATCCCGTAGCCTATGAATTTTAACCTCTGCCAATTCTAGACAAAGCGCGATCACCAGCCAATGTCTTCGGTTGTACCTGCTGTATTCTACTGGTCACGACTTCCCACTAGAACCCCAAGTAACTACCTACCTGACTAGGGCCATTCGCTAGTGAGCATCAGTTATAGTAATTCACACTATTTTTCATATTTATATACTACATTCATCTAATTCACTTTTACGTATTTTAGTTTCTTTATTTTTATTAAATCTTTTGCTTTTTAGAATGTGTTTCCGATATCTCCAGTTCTATTTTATCCAGCTAAAGCTTTCCCACAAGCAGGATTCACTGCTCTTATTCGAGCTCATAGTCATTTCGCACTACTTAGTGTTTTGTTAAAATCACTACAGTTTGTAAAATATTTACAACAAATTGTAGTTGTATGGACAAGTAAAGTATATCCTGTTCCTGACAGTAAGTGTTCCTAACTAACGAGTCTTTTTTTGTTGATTTTACTTTTTTTTCAACACAGCTTCTGTTAAATGTATGTGTTTATCAGTTGACAAAAGGCTGGACAATGTGACCATAGTTACGTAGTCAGAAGTCTATTTAGCTGCATAATATATATATATATATATATATATATATATATATATATGCTAAAATGAATAGAAGCGTGTATACTTATGATTGATACCTTAAATATGCTCTTTTTAATTTAGAGATTAAGTGTTGACTGATCTAGTTTTTCCACTATCTTATGTGTTTAATGGCAAGTTTACACTTTAACTTATTTCAGTTTCCGGACTTATATATGATTGACAATTTGTTAAGTTGATGCCTTATTATAACTGTGAGGTGAATCGATACATGCTTATTCCTTTGAATATTCGTTATTGAATATGAACAAGTGGACTGACTGACTGACCGACTGGCTAACTGAGTTTCAACACAGAACTTTGGATAGAAGTGTAGAAGTTCAAGTTGCCACACCCCAATGCAGTATACACAGGAAGACAGAAGCGAGAGAAAGAGATTCAAAAGAACAATAATAAAGAGAAACATGAGGGAGAAACAATAATAAAATGAGAAAACAAAATGGTTTAATAGGTGTGAGAGATCACAAAGAGTGAATACATCTCTGCCACTAAGACCGATTTAGAACCATATCTCCAATAGTCTTCTAGTCACTAGTTCTTAGCATCCTTAGGACCCCAACCAGGAAGCCTACAAATCCCTACATGACTCATACCAACTATCAAAGACGTCATGGACTGATGTCAGGTTTTGGTTTAATCACCTGATATGTACTCAGGTGCATGACATGTTTATGGTGAGACTAAATCAAGGTTGTCTGGATATTTCCTCTCACTCTGGGAATTGTCCTTATTGGCTGTCTTCACTCAAGCGGTGCCACTGACTATATATATATATATATATATATATATATATATATATATATATATATATATATATATATATATATATATATATATATATATATATATATATATATATATATATATATATATATATATATATATATATATATATATATATATATAATTCTCTTTGGTACACTGACTTCTTAATTATATGGATAAATATACTTTTCATCTCACGTCCTTGTGTTGTGGCTTAAGTAAAGCGGGTTGGGCGAAACAGGTAGTTGACGTATAATGTTGCTGGTGTAGTCGATCAGTGTCCGTAGTCAGCGCTTTTGAGTCCAGCATCGGCGTCCCTGTCGCGTAACTAACATCTCAATCTATATGAACAAGTTAATATGGTGAAACTATTATCTTTCTTGCCAACCCATCACACTTCAACGTTAATAAAGCATAGGTTTCCAACTCTTCACTTTGTTTATAATGAGATGGTAATTATTTCTCAGAGGGAAAAACTATGTGTGAATGTAAAGAAGGATGCTGAAAACAAACTGTCGATTTTCTGTTGAGCCACCTTAAACTTCATTCGTGATAATATCTAGCAAGATTCTCTGTAGTGTTTATTTTTTTTCTCAACGTTACCTTTTATTTCAATGTATTCTTCTGATAGCATCTACGATATCTTATATCCAGTTAAGCCATAGAAATTGAATTACATACGGATAGCGTAGTAATTGACATGAGTTACCCAAATAGTTTTATTATTGGACGCATGAACAAAGTAGACAGGAACTTGAAACAAGTCACCTTGAAAAGGGTTTTCTGAAGCTCCAATTCATTAGGGACAATGGATAGTGATGTTCTATATCCGCGACTGTCCAGAACGATAAAAAGCGCTTATAATGGTTCCAACTAACCGGTCATGAAGAAAAAGAAAAGTTATATAGTGAAGCTATTTCTATGTTCATTTATAAGTTTATCTATTCCTGTGAAGGAAGTTATATAGAGTGAATAATTAGGTAATTAAAGAGACACATCATTGGACACCTCCCTTTCGTTGTTGAAAAACGTGCAACAGAATTAATACGAAGCACAAATCTATCTCACTTGATTGATAGTGGACCCCAATGAAACCGAAAACCTCTTTAAAGTTACTTTTTGTATTCCATTGAGTCTTGTGACAGGTATTTGAACTTGTCTTATACACATAGTTGAGGCGTTATCCAATGAGATATTGAGCCAAAAGAACCAACTCTAGTGTATCGGGAGCGAGCATTTCAATTCAATAAAATCATTTGATAGGAAATTAAAAAATATTGTGTTGACTAGCAAAAACTGATACTCCATTATGGATGAGATTGAACAAGATGTGGTCCAGTACATGATGCTATGATGTTTAAAACTATGGGTTATTGGGTGGAGTCTCGGGGAGCAGTGTCACTCACTAAATACATAGTTTCATTCACCTGACAGGTCCAAAATAGGATGAAACATGTTTCCGGAAGTTTACTGTTAGCCAACATTAATTAAATGACATCGTTATTCAAGTGTTGGTTTGTAGGGATTTCGTTGATTGGTTACAGGATTTCATCATGAGCTGAAATTGGTTAGACAACCATTGGAAAACCTGCCAGGGAGTACTGGGCAGCTGTTTCGTTCTAGTTTGGAACTCTTCAGCAGTACGCACCCACCGGGATTCGAACCTTGGTACTTCTGGTTACAAGGCGAGCTCGTATACTGTTAAGCCACTGGGACCCGATCCAGTTGCCCCTGAATTCTAACTTCTGCCAATTTACGACACAGCGGGACCCCTAGCCAATGTCTTCGGCGAGTATTTGTCCTGCTGAGAAGTCGTGACCAGTAGGGTGCAGCAGGTCGGGTGTGAGGACAAATACTCGCCGAAGACATTGGCTAGCGGTTGCGCTATGTCGTGAATTGGCAGAAGTTAGAATTCATGGGCCATTGAATCGGGTCACAGTAGCTTAATGGTATGCGAGCTCGCCTCGTAACCAGAAGGTCCAGGGTTCGAATCCCGGTGGGTGCGTACTGCTGAAGAGTCCCAGACTAGAACGAAACAGCTGCCCAGTACTCCCTGGCAGGTTTTCCAATGGTTGTCTAACCAATTTCAGCTCATGATGAAATCCTGTAACCAAATGACATTGTGTTTTTGTTGCTAATAATTACGCTTCCTAGAACAATATATCTTTCAATCGAAGTTACAATTTAGAAATATCTATGAAAACGTCAGTAAGTAACCGATGTAGTCCTTCGATTTCTTTATTTTAGCTTATTGTTAGTGGCGAAAGTATTTGATAAAATAAACAGTAAATCAATGTACTAGTTCAGAGATTAATTTTACTATTCAAACTGTTTTTCTTTTATTTCAGCTATACTTTGGCCATCACTAAAGGTACCGTTGAGTGTAGTACGTCCAGCTTATGGTTCAGTAAATGGTCGATTTTTTCCTTATCGACAAATAAGAACAGAAGCAGTTTTTTCTATTGAAGAAGATACTTGTCTACCATCTGCTGAATCAGTTGAACGTGCATTTGAAGTAGGTATATCTGATATATATATTCCTTTACGTTCCCAGTGGAACATGGGGTTTCAAGCTACAGTTTTGAAGTTTTGGCAGCAGTGGCACTTATTTTCGCGGGATGAGGCTGTTAGCCTCATGCCTAACCTTCCCTCTTCACCAGTCTTATTACTGACTTAATGAGGCAAAGGAGTGCGGTGGCCGGGGATCGAACTTTGAACCACCTGCGTAGTTGGCGAGCATTCTACCGCTGTGCTACTCATTTTGCACCCATCTTCTGGGTAATAGCAGAAATGTGATTAATGATGTAGAATTTAAAAATCGATAGTTCATTATCATCCCCCGTGAGGTTTGTAGGAATTGGGCGTAAAGTATTTATTTAGTCAAGCAGGTGATTCACGTGATGAGGTAGAAACTTGGCAAATTGACTGTTTAGCCATGATTTACTCCCATGCATTGTTTGTCTTAGGGAAGAGTGTGTTGAGAATAGCTTCGAAACGATTATATCCAGAATATAATTCTAAACCATGATGTTTGTGGGTTTTAGCTGAATCTAGTCAGGGTAGAATCGTGAAGTTATGTGAAATTAGTGACTGAGGACTGAAAGGTGGTTGTGGTGGTGCTGTAACAGCAGGAGATAAGGGCAAGGCAACATATTGTTTATTGAGAGAATCTAGAGGTATTTATAGATTTTTATGTATGTTATTGTCAGCAAAGAAGCGACCTTTCCTGATTGGTTGTTTTCTAGCCGAAGGTTATTCTGTACTGCTTGTAACCGTTTCTCAAGAAGTTAAGCCATATATCTGCGATTCGTATTTACACACGTAAAGTCTGCTGTGATTGGTCAGTGAGTTCCTCAATGTTAAGCTTTGTTATTGTTTTTCTCATGACCCTGATTCGGCACGCAACATTGACGTAAATTGCTGTCTACGATTTTGACTTGTTCTCAGCTAGCTCTTACCACAGTGCAACGACATTCATACATTCCCCTTAATCTTATGCAATCTTTTGTTATATTCTATTTATCCTTTTATGTGTTCTGGTTTCTGATATTTATTGTATTACTGGCTACAGTTCTGTGACTTTGATTAATAATTATGGCTAAACTACAATGGATCTAATCGTCTCCTGCATGTTGTGTTAGGCTATTTAAATGTATATGATTATAAGTGGAATGGAGTTTGGATGCAGTTATTCCATTGCATTTGAATGGTTTAGTATTAAGCACATTAGACACTATCAGTCCTACATTGGCTGTCAGTGCACAACTCCCTCTTTATGGAATTTAAGTTTGAATCGCTTTTTGCATAAAACTATACACCTCTGTTTGAAAAGATGAATAGTTGTACACCACTTATATCAACCAGTAGCGCGCTTTACCTGCTTTTACTTAGCTGTCTGTCTGTCTATTGATTTAAAAACGTCGCATAGTTATTCCCCTTGATAAATTTGAATAATGCAATTAGAATGTCTTTTGGAGTATAAGACAACTTCATTATTTATTAAATGTTTCTGCCAGGGGACCACTACCACTCACTGAAGATGCAGTTTCGTATTCAAATGACGAGTCCTAAATTGGACGAACTGCGTATACTGGATTCCACTGCTAGTCACCATCATCCATCGTATCTTTTAATTTAATTGGATTTTTTATTATTATTTTGAATCTTATTATTTTGCTTTGGTTTAAATAGCTATGGTGCCAAAATCCTGAACGATTAGTCAGTTTATCTGGAAGACAATCTGAACAGCTTTCTTGGCATCTATTTTACAATAATGATACTGATGATAATCAGTCGTTTTCTGCCACTTTTCCTGCAGTCTTTTTCCATAAGGTATGCATAACTGTTATTCTGTTTTTCTCTTGATCTGTTTGTTTATCATACCAGTGATAACTGTACTGTTATAATCTGAAATCGTTTTAATACACATATGTAAAATTGTTGTTGTTCAAAGCTTATCCACTATATCAGCATATAAGATAAACAACCGATGAAAGTGAGCTCAAAACTTTAAATATGAGTTATGATAATTTACTAATAGCCCTGATAAAAACTTGGACGAATTGATAATAATAATAATAGCTTTATTTTGTACAGCATTTACATATGGTATAAAATCTTCAGCATAATTAATTGCATGATATTTTCTGATCATTCAGAAACTTCAAATAAAATATCACGTAACAGTAGACCTTACGAAACACTTCTGCCTGACGGGAAGCGCAAACCAAGAAATAATGATCTCTCCTCTTTGTCTTATTCAGCTAAATGCATGTGAATTGGTTGAATGGCGACTAGAAAATGTTCAGGAATCCATTTTGTGAGCCAAGGACACAACCCATGAACATCAAACTCTTGCATTGCAATACACCCCTAACCCACGATTTTTTTTTATTACAGCTTGATTCCACACTGTATGTTTGGTACAAGTATGGAATTTTCAGCATGTGGTATCGGTAGCCCAAATTTTGCAGACCAACCATAGATATCGGGTGTGCGTCGGCAGGGAATCGAACCCCGGACCATGTGCATGGTCGGCGAGAGTCCTAACCACTGTGCCACCGACGCACAGAGATAACTAGAAAATTGCGAATCAGCAAACTGTAAACACATTAAATACTTCCCAGAGTATAAAACGTAATTAAACGTCACATTTTATCGGATTTAACCAAATTGAACGGGAAAAAATATCGATGGGATTGTTTGGCGGCCCAATTTTAAGCAGGCCACCACTTGAAAAATGGCATAATTTTGGTGCATGTTTATCTCCTGAGAACTGTTTGTTTACCTTGAAGTCTATGGAATGTATATTTAGTATAATTTGCATCGCAGTTTCGATTCAAGTGGGTTTTCGGTCTATAAATTTAAGCACTTTTGTCTCATTGCCCATTACATAAAAAAAATAAACTCATTCAACACTTCGAATAGTAAATTATGTCCGAAATTTTGAAGTGTTAGTTTATAGGGGTTTGATTAGTCCCAAGTTTGATCACGGAGTGATTGATATCAGTTAGAGAACAATTAAAAGCGAGGGAGTACTGGATAGCTGTTTTTCCTGGCCTAAAGGTCATCGGTACGTACTGATGAAATGACCTGAATGAGGACGAAACAGCTACCGAATACTTCCTGGCCTTCAGTAGTTCTTTAAATATGTTCGAAATCTCATTCACTAAACAATACTGTTTCACTGTGTGTGTGTTGACTGTAACCTATACGTCTTTTACTGTTGTATTATTTCAAGTGTAAGCGTTCACATTTACACTGTTTATTGTGAAAGATAGAACCACCGATTAGTGTTATGCTAAAATAAGATAGTCTTTCAACTTAACACAAGTCTCCAGTGCATCTGTTCAATTAGAACTAACAATGCCTGTATGTACGTACCCTTTACTAAATCTGCGGTATCCAGGTCTATTTATGCCTAATTATTCACTATGTGGTGAGAGCAGGCTGCTAGCCGATTGGTTGGCACTAATCTACGTTAATGTCTAGGTCACTAATATTGGCCGTGAACAAGGCTGTTTCAACAACCAATCACAGCAAACCTAAATGTGGACAAATATGATTCGCAGATAGATGGCTCTACTTTCCGAGAAATATCGAACACAACCAATCATAAGACTGTGTTTGTCTGCTTAACTTCCGAGAAACAACCAATCAGAAGACTGCCTTTTTCTGCTTGCATAAGCCTTATTAATGCATATAAAATATATATAAATACGTGTTGATTTTCGTAATAAAACGATCTGTTGCCAGCCCTTGTCTTCTGTTGTTACATTTGGTGTCGCTGCCTCCAAGAAGATGAAGATCCCGTGGCCAGCTGCGTTTGAAGAAGGTGACATACGGAGCTTCTTACGTGACTTCGAAGCCGTTGCTGAGCTGGTGGGTGTCAAGGAGCAGGCGGCGAAGGCAGTTGTCCTGGGGACGCTGTTGAGAGGCCGAGCGAAGGCTGCATATGACAGCGTAGACAGGTCAAATGGCACAGCGTCTTGGAAGAAATTGGTTGAACGACTAGTGTCCGAGTTTGACAGCGAAACAGACAGACAGCTAGCAATGCAGCAGTTCCGGTCAATGAAGCTTGGACCTGATGGAGACCCGCTAGTGTTGGCGGTGAAACTGACTAATCTACTTCGACGCGCGCTTCCCACTTTAGATGAAGAATCAGAAGCGCAGTTACTGTCTTCCCAATTCATCGAGAGTGTCCCCGACCACATTTCTCAGCGATTAAAACTGGTTAACGCAACGCAGCCGATGGATATTAGTGAGCTGGCGAAGGTGACCAGACAGCTGCTGAGCACAACGGTAGCCGCTATAGACCAACCAAAACCAAACGAATATGAGCAAAAAATTGAAGCATTGCAGCGGGAAGTGGCGGCGTTAAAGTTGGCTGATAGAAAAGACCGGTGTTTTGAATGCGGTAAGCCGGGACACTGGAGAAGATACTGCCCAGAAAGGCGAAAAAGAAAAAATTTCAGACGGTATAATGCTTGTTCTTTCTTTCGTATGAACCTAGGTTTAGTGGGGGCTATTGAGAAAGGCGCTCTGTATTCGAAGTTGCGAGTGAATGATCGAGAAGTAGTATGTTTGATAGATACAGGAGCGGCCGTGTCGTTAATAGATAAGAATTTATGTAAGAGTGTTAATCCGTGTTCATTGACAGTACAAACAGTAGGCGGGTATGTGTTGCGTATCACGGGTAGATCGAACTGTACGGTCGTTGTTGGTGGCTGCGAGGTGACGTTTCCTTTCATTGTTGTACCCGAACTACAGCGAACGATATTAGGAGCGGATTTTCTGCGTGAGATTGGTGCCATAATCGACACGCAAGCGAACGTGGTGATCACGAAATACGGGCATATCAACATGTATGAGACCAGCGAGATAGCAGCGATTAAGCTGTCGACGGTACACAATGTGACAGAGTTAATTAATAAATACGATCATCTGTTCACTGGAGATGGGGACCCATACGGTTATTGCGATAAGGTGAATCATGAAATTCCGTTAAGTGATCCGAAAGTAAGGTCATTTTTAACGCGAAGAGTTCCATGTCATCTGGAAGGCGAAGTGGAGCGACAAGTGCAAGAGATGTTAAAAGATGATATTATTGAGGAAGCTGATAGCCCATACAACTCTCCAGTGCTGTTAGTAAAAAAAGCGAATGGGAAGTATAGATTCTGTGTTGATTTTCGACAGTTAAACAGTATGACAGAGTTAAGACCGTGTGCCATGCCAACAGTGGTAGAAACCTTAGATCGCCTACAAGGTGCGAATGTGTTTTCGGTTCTCGATCTTCGCTCAGGATACTGGCAGATACCGATAAAACAAAGTGACAGAGATAAGACGGCTTTCATCGTGGGTCAGACACAATATCGATTTAAACGCATGCCGTTTGGACTAGCAGGTGCACCGTTTACGTTCAGGCGACTGATGAAGCTATTACTTAAGAACTTGAAAAACGTGGAGGTTTATGGTGATGATCTCGTCATATACAGTCAAACGAAAACGATCACGTCAACCATGTAGAAGCCGTGCTGCGACGCATCGAAGAGTTTGGACTACGCGTCAACAAAACCAAGTCTCAGATAGCCAAAAAGAATGTTACTCTGTTGGGACATAAAGTGGGAAATGGTGAGATTAAACCACTGCCGGAGAAAATTTTGACGATTAAAACGATTCCAGCCCCGAATTCAAAGAGAAAACTGAGACAATTCTTGGGTAGAGCAGCGTTTTATAGTCGCTTCGTGAAGAACTTCAATGAGATAGCAGCCCCTCTATACAGGCTACTAGGTGAGCCAAAGTTTGTTTGGTCGGAAGAATCGCAGAGGACATTCGACAGAATTAAACAGCTGCTCGACCACCAACAAATGACGCTAAAACTACCTGTGCCAGGAAGACAGTTCACAGTGTGCACAGATGCCAGTGACTACGCTATAGGTGCGGTCCTAAGACAGGACGAGGGAATCGTTGAGTATGCCAGTAGGGTTTTGACCCTCACAGAGAGAAAGTATTCAACGATAGAGAAAGAATGTTTAGCAATGGTATGGGCAGTCGACAAATGGAGACCTTATTTACTCGGCCGGCGGTTCCACATCGAAACTGATCATAAGCCGCTACAATTTTTGAAGACAGCGAGAGACCCACGGGGGAAGTTGTCACGGTGGATGTTGCGTCTTCAGGAGTACGATTTTACGATCTCACACGTTCCTGGAAGTGAAAATGTCTTGGCAGATTTGTTATCGAGACCAGAAGATGAGTCTGAGTTGCCCGAGGTCGCTTACGGAGTGCATGCAGTAGAACAAGACCCACTAAGACTTGCACGTAGGCAGAGGTTGGACGATACGCTGAATACAGTAATACAGGTGATCACCAACGGAATAGAAGTGGATCAAACTACGGCGAGTAAGGAGCTAACCACACTACTCAGACAGAGGGATCGACTCAGAGTGAATGCCTACGGGACTCTGACCTGGCGAGAGAACGACGGAAGCTGGCTGGCTGTCATACCTCAATCGTCGCGCCACGACATGATAGAAGAATGTCACCAGCTAGCGCATACAGGCGTGGCCAGAACGACCGACCTCCTAAGACAAAGTATGTACTGGCCAGGTATGAGAGAAGACGTAGCAAGATACGTACTTGGATGTCCACGGTGCCAGCTGATGAAAGGTGACCGGTATATACGACCACCACTTCAGTCGATTCCAGTTACCGCGATAGGTGACTTGTGGTCCGTAGATGTCATGGGTCCATTTCCTCAGACATCCAATGGTAATCAGTACCTCTTGGTGATGACGGAACACGCGACACGATGGGTAGACGCCGTAGCAATCCCAGACCAACGTGCAAGAACCGTGACAGATGCAGTAGTTAGACACATTGTTGCAGACCACGGCGTACCGAAGACAATACTGACAGACCAAGGTCCCTGTTTCGAGAGTGAAGAGTTTACTTCCCGTTTGCAACAGCTGGGCATCAAGAGGATCAGAACGACCCCATACCATCCACAAACGAATGGCCTAACGGAGAGAAACAACCGTACACTGAAAGAGTGGCTGGCTTCGAAGGGCGGGAACTGGGAAACGGAGCTTCCACTGATTTTACTAACACATCGGGCTACCACTCAGGAAACAACGAAGAAGTCACCCTTCCAACTGATGTATGGTAGAAAACCACGATTACCGGTACACAATGAGACCTGGCCCATGCACCAAAAGTGGAGTACGACGAAATTAAAAGCAGAGAGGAAAGAGGCAGTCAAGAATGTAATACGGAAGCAGCGCAGTGATGTCACGAAGTCTCAGATGAAAGAAAGGACGCAGTGCATTACCTTTGCAGTCGGGGACCAAGTGAAGTGTAGAGACAGGAGATATACAGTTGGAGGCGGGCTAGGTTCACGGAAACTCCTTCCAAAGTGGGAAGGACCATACACAATCACAAAAAGACGGGGTCAAGTATATACCATCCGAAGAGGTGATAAACAGAAACGAGTTAACGCCAGTCAGCTCCAAAGATGGGTACAGTGGGACAAGCCGGTCAGTAACAATCCTCAACTAGAGGATGTAGCACCCAGAAGGTCGGAACGTCTGCGCACAAAGCTATTTGACGGGGGGACGAGTGTGGTGAGAGCAGGCTGCTAGCCGATTGGTTGGCACTAATCTACGTTAATGTCTAGGTCACTAATATTGGCCGTGAACAAGGCTGTTTCAACAACCAATCACAGCAAACCTAAATGTGGACAAATATGATTCGCAGATAGATGGCTCTACTTTCCGAGAAATATCGAACACAACCAATCATAAGACTGTGTTTGTCTGCTTAACTTCCGAGAAACAACCAATCAGAAGACTGCCTTTTTCTGCTTGCATAAGCCTTATTAATGCATATAAAATATATATAAATACGTGTTGATTTTCGTAATAAAACGATCTGTTGCCAGCCCTTGTCTTCTGTTGTTACAACTATTCTATTGATGAATGGACAATTGAAATTGACTGAGCGCTATGAATTTTACCATCCTCCTGTTTGTTTTCCAATCAGATGTCATTAAATGTTAGGAGTCAATCTGTTGAAACCAACAAGCATAGATCTGACGCTTGTCGACACTCATTGTCAAGACATATTTACAATCTAAAGGGAATTTTCCGTTAACTTCTCCATAAAATCATCTCTTTGTATATAGCTATTATGCAGTCTGACTATTGACGTACAATGAATGACATGTTTTGTAAACACAACTCATTTTTAAATATTAAAATGTATAGTCACAATTACACACTGGTTATATTATAGTGAATAATTTTGTTCCCCCTTTGCACTCAATTCTCTCATCTGTTTTACCACAATTAGCACTACTTACATCTGTACACCGATCTGTTGGCTGTCCATGTGAAATCATTTATCGATAAGTTGGAGACATGTGAAGATGCTTTCTTGTATTGGCTTATTGTACAAACATCTGGTGGTCAATCAGTATTGAGCACTTCTCTTGTGTACAATTATAATTCATCCAATTTGTATAGTTTTACCAATCCATTATTGAATGAATGTCGTCCTGTGCCTAAACATTGTTCACTTCATGTAAATCAATTATCATCTTTTGTGAAAAACTTTCGTCAATCAAGTTATCCTTTCAAAGTTTCACAGTTAACTGCTGATGCCTTATAAAATGCAAGATTGAATTATCTATTCTATTCTGCTGTTAGTTATATTAACATTAATACTACTTATATAACTGCATTTAATTCGTGTGCTTCAATCATTATGTTTTTTCTTAAAATAATTATTTTTATTTCAAGATGCAGATTGTACATCTTCATACACAAGTGCCATACAGCTTTGTCTAAGAGATTTTTAAGTATTATTATCTATTCGATTTTCCCCTTTTATTGTACATTATTTTAAATGGTCTAAGTTCCTTTATCTTTTATAAGTCTTTAAACAAAGTATTCACTAAACGTTGCAGTCTCTAGCTTGGCTAATAAAAATAAAGTCTCGAAATTTAGTGTTTCACTTTTCAACCCCCCTCCCGTCTACCCGAATTTGTTAGCTGAATGTATTTAAATCTCGGAAAATCTTTTATGGTTATTGTTACTGTTATATGACTGGTAATTCCGTCAGGATACTGATTTATTTTGCTTATTCGTAGTCAGAATACTTTTAAGGCAATTGATATTTGTATTCTAAGATTTGCGGATCATTTCATCTTGATGAGTTTACAACGGACTGTGAACAACATTAAAACATAAATTATTCCTATTATCTGTAATACAGACCAACAGGTACAAACTGAAAATTTTAATGGAATATGAACCACAGATTCATGTGGCAATGAAATTTCCACAAGAGAGAACAAAAATATTGCACTCATCCCATGGCTTATATCAGCTTGATATAATTGTCCTTAGAATCGAGGTAATCCCTACTACTTGAAATAGCCTTGAATTGGCAGACTAGGCCCGACGTTTTGAATGATGGTTGAAGGGAAAAATGAAAATCCTGATCGAGACAAGGTTCGAACCAGCGCCTTGCGAGTTACTTATACCATAAGTCTATCAGTTAAGACATTTTTCATCCCTTGCATTCTCAGTGGAACCTAGAGGTGAATTTTCAGTAGTAGTGGTGTTGTTTTCACGGGGTTGAGTTGCTAGCCACACGCACAAGCTTTTCTCTTTTCAAGGATTATAATCGGCTAGGTGAGATTTAGGGGTCCGCCGGTGGTGAATCGAACTCAAAGCTCTAATGTAATTGGTAATCAGTGTTCCATTGAGCCTCCGACAACTAGCTGCTAGTCATTACAACAAACGAACCCTTTCGTATTTGTGTCACTTATTCAAGTAGAGAGTACTTTGTGAAAACAGTTGTTATTCATATTCAGTTTAAATCTCTTATTTCTGTCATTGTCTTTATTTCTCATGTTTTACTCATTATGCTGTTGATCTATAACAATGGTAGCAAAGTATCTCCTCCTTACAATTCTACTTGCAGGCAACAAGTTAAAAAGCAACTCGCAAATCCGAAATAAGTGCCTTGTGAATAATCTACTCATAATTCATTTAACTTTTTTGTCTAAAATAGGTTAGGCTTAACGCCAAACACAGTGTACCCAGGTGCCTAGGAAATCTTCTACAATACATTATTATCACTACCGTTATTATTAATAATAGTGGTAGTGATAGCGATAATCTAGATTAATTGACCCTAATAAGATAAGAAAGCTGGAGATTAGTTCAGCTATAGTACTACATGCAATTAGACTCAACCCATACAACAGAATGGGATGAGATGACAGTTTTAAAATCTAATATAACAGGGTGGACGGAGAGATTGATAACTGAAGCTTTGTTTATCGAATCAACTGAAAGTACGCGTAATAGGAATGATTCAACACCTATCCAAATGAACATCTGGAAAATTCTACTACCCCTACGATGAATAGGAAAGAATATAGGAAACTATTAAACGAAAGTTTCGAGGTGGTGTTGTTGTAATTACTGTAATTATGAACAATAAATTGTGTTCGAAACGTCATCCAGTAAATAATACTGTTTCACTGGGTGATAGATATTTCTAATGAATGTTGAACTACATACTACCACAATTCTCAAGTTTTATACATATATCAAACAATTATCTGCTTATCCTATCACTTTATATGCATCAACACAAAGCATTTAACTTGGTGTTGATATTTGGAGGAAAAAGCAGATGTACTTTAAGTCTTATTCTCGAAATCTATCTTGACTATTTTACCCTACACCACAGCAACAGCAGCAGTTTACATACTGTAAACCCTGAAACTTTTATTTCCTTTCGAAACACACTACTACCTTGCTTTTCATTTCAGTTATTTATCGATTTTTACAGTCTGCAGCCTTATCATCACTATACTAATAATCAAACCCCTTTTCGGAAATTTACTCAGTTATTTGCTTACATTCGCTCTTATAATCTAAAAGTATTAGCTGGCAGTTGGTGAATCAAACCGTTCCATTCTCGTGATTGACAGGTTGAACTACATCTGAACGAAAAGGCTCTGGAATATAATAGACCAACATATTTTATTTATAGCTGTTCATACTGGACAAAACAATATGTTATAAAAGTAATGCATGAAAATTTAGAAGAATTCTACAGAGAAAGTGTTAATTTCTTTTATAATGCAAAGTCAATTTAATTATCATCATTAATACAAACATGCAAACATAAGACTGTTGCTAGCAGGAAGACAATGTGACTACTCTTGTAGGTCGACTTCAATCTCTTGAAAACGATTAGCTAAGTGTCTATCAAATGGCTGTGATGGAATACCAGGCAGACCATGATCCCAACCATATCGTTCACGTGCTTCAGCTAACTTTGCTAGTCTTTCTTCACGATTAGGTTGTGGCAGCCAGGGGTAACGAGGACATATACGTATATCTTGGGTGCTAAGTGTTTTTTCTAATGAATGTGTATGCCTAATCAAGTTGGATAGATGAAAAGGTTTATTTATTAAATCAGGATATAAACCAGGCAGATTATCTGGTGGAGAGAATTTTCTGCTAGAAGATTGTGCACGTTTGCTTGAAGTAGTTGATCTAGCTGTACCCGGTCGCTAAAAAACGATACAGAATAAAAATAAAATAGAGATCATTATAAGACTAACAGTAATTAAATAATACACATAAAGAAGTTATCACTTGACTCAAATTGTTCTAGCTGGGACCCATTTTAGCATTAAGATTGAATTATTCACAGAAGGTAACTCAACTTGTCATTCCTTTTTATTACTACTTAAATGCCATTCAGCCACTGGGATCCGATTCAATGGCCCATGAATTCTCTAACTTCTACCTATTCGTGATTTTAACGCCAACCAATGTTATCAGTGGGAAATTCATCCCCACTCCCTAATGGATGGACCTCACTGGTCACGACTTCTCACTAGAACTCCAGGAAACTCTGTCCTGTAGCAAGTCACTAGCGAGTATCGGATTAATTTTCAAGGGTTGATTTGTAAGTATTAGATTTGTTTTTCTAGTTTGACCACGGATTGATATCAGTTAGAGAACCATTAGTAGTTGCGCTAAAATCACGAATAAGTAGAATTTAGAATTCATGGGCCATCGAATCGGGTCTCAGTGGATGAATGGTATACAAGCTTGCTTTGTAACCGGAAGATCCTGGTTTCGAGCTACAGTGGGTGCTTACCTCTGATGATTCCCAAACTAGGATGAAACAGCTATCCAGTACTCCCTGGTTTTCAATGGTTCTCCAACTGATATCAATCCGTGGTCTAACTCGTAAACACAAATCTAATCCTTACAAACCAACTATAGACAATTAATCTGATGCTAGCTAGTGACTTGGTACAGGACAGAGTTTCCTGGAGTTCTAGTGAGAAGTCGTGACTAGTGAGGATGAATCTCCCATCGATGAAATTGGTTGGGGTCTCGCTAAATCACGAATGGGTTAGCCATTGAATCGCGTCCCAGTGACTGAATGGTATACGAGCTTGCCTTGTAATCGGAAGATCCTACTTGAATAGTCGAAGTTAACCTGTAGAAAACTGTACACTAACTTTATCCGCTGAAGCATAATCATCAGATTTTGGATAATTTATGTTCTCTCTGCAGTTGGAGCCATAAACTCCCAATGACGGACTACTAAGGTTAACAACTGAAGTGCACTTCGCCTAATTAGTAAAACTGCATAAGTAGTAAAACCAAGGTAGCACGTGAAATCTTAGTGGAGAAAAAAAATTAAGGTAATTTTAACATTGCTTATACTGTCAGCATACGGCATAGTGCTAACATGAAGTGGACATGATAGTCCTCCTTCATACATTGGATGTTTTATTTTCTTATAAACTGTTGACCAGGGCTTCAGTTCACGTACACTTCATTACCTGGATGGTAATAAGATCAGTCCCTAATTTCATTAAGAAGTGAAGCATGCTTATAAGTTGTTTGAGTATTTGATTTGTGCTTCTTTGCTCCTTTATGTTTCATTGAGTTTTAATAGGCGGAAGTGATCTTTGACATAATGATATATCTGCTTTTAAACTGCCTTTCTGTAACCATAATTCACTATAGGTTTGCTGAGGCAGACTTTAGTCAATAAAAGAGGAATAGTTTTTCCCTGAAATCTATTCTATGAGAAGTTTTTTTGGGGAACTTTCCTACTGCCCTTAAGTTGTCACTGCTGAAGCTAACACGAGACCCTCAATGGAAACTATGATTGCGAATACGTTTTATCAGAGCAAATATAAAGCCGTATATAGCTTAACTACCAGGCAATATTCGCTAATTGTCTAAGTAATTTCGTAAGTAGCCATGCTAAGTTAGTATTGTTGGTAACATTTACAGTCATTCTAATAAATTTCACTTATTTAATTTCGATAACGAAATTTCAGTTGGCTAAGTATTTTCAGTAGCTGTTTCATTGGTTTGTCCGCTACGCTACAAGTCGGCTAGTGATTTTTGAGGCGTTCTTAATGTTGAAGGAACCTAATTTCCTTGTTGAGTTAAGTTAACTGGGTAATTCCTTGTTCTATTAATAAACGTAGCTGGTAATCATCAGGTACTTCAGCCAGTTGTCATTCTTTTTGAATTACTAGATAGTTGCTTAAATTACTGGACTTCCTAGATTTTCATCCGGTATAAATCTACATAAGCCCTTCTTCA